TGCAGGTTCACTATGTTAGGGACGCGTGACGGACGAACGGGTTGCGTATCTGGTTTCGTCTCGTCGTTCTGAGCAACTTTGATGTACAAAGTTTTTCCATCCGAGCTACGAATTAATAAATGTGATTTTCCAAAGTTTTAATAATATTCCGGAATTATTTAATTCGAAAATTTAAATAGAAAATATTTTGTCACAAGGGGCTCTACTAGACGGTGTGTATGGCAGTGGGGCCATAGGTTGGATTTGACCCAGTCAATTTGACTGGTCAACAGAGGGTTTGTGGCCAACATGTAATAGGAACATTAGTAACTAGGGATTAAACTAACAAGGTCCCACATGTCATTGAGTGGCCTTTTAACTAAAAGGTTTTTAGTGCGTGAGACCACCTGTCATGGACAGGTTAGGCTGAACTAAACCTAACTAAGCTAATTAGCACTAAGCAATTTGGATAGGGCCGGCCACATCTCCAGAGAGCTAGTCAGCTTTTTTAGCTGGGCTGCACGCTTGCACAGGAGGGCGCCGGTGGCCTTGTGTAGCAGCAGCAACAGGTAGCAGGGGCATCAACCAGCAGCAGCGCAGCAGGGGAACACGGGCTGCCAAGGCAGCGGAGCAGAGAGCATCGGCAGCACATAGTAGCAGCAGTAGTAAGCAGAGCAGCAATAGCAGGAGCTGCAGCGGCAAGCAGAAGCAGTGCAGCAGCAAGGGCGGTAGGCAGAGCAGGGGCCGCGGGCGGCTGCGGGGGCGCGCCTTGGACGCAGCCAGGGCGAGCGCCGGGAGCAGCGGACGCGCGTGCAGAAGGGCGTGGTGCAGCGGCGAGTGCGACGGACGCAGGGTTGTGGTGGCGCCAGGGTCTCGCGAGCACAAAGCGCCGGACGCGGCGACGGCGAAAACGGGTTTGATCGGGCGCGACGCTATAGCTCAAAATTGAGCGAACCTAGAGGCTAGTCTGCATCTACATGGGCACGGGAGCACTCCCGTGTGCATGGCTGGCCCCGGGACGGCCTGTAGCCACGGCGGGGAGCACCACAGCGGCGGCGCGTTTTGGCCGGAGCAAACGAAGACGACGACGGGACTATGACTATGGATCGAGAGCGGTTAGGAAGGGGAAACCCGGAGGAGAAGTTCACCAAGGAGCCGGGGACGTGGTCGGGGAGGCTGGGGAGCGAGCTGCGTGGTGAGCGCACACTCACCGCGAGTGTGGTCGCGGTGTCTACAGGCACGACGGCGATGACGGCACGGGCTCGAAGAAAACACGCCTACGGCGAGGATCAGGAGAAGGTCAGGGAAGAGGGGAAGCTCACGTTGTGGCACACGAAGGCCGTTGGGGGGGCTTAGTAGCGCAGGAGCGGCGAAGCGGGGCGACGGAGAGGGCCGGCGATGGAGGCCAACGGCGTCGGGGAAGAACACAGCGACGTAGGCGACGCAGAGCAGCTCCTCCGGCCGGACGCGGTTGCGCAGAGGACGAGGATGACTTGGGGAAGCCGTCGGGTAGCTCGAGGCGGCTGCTGGCCTCGGCCACGGCCGGCAGGGGTGGCCGCGTTCGGCGAGGCGAGCCCAGAGGGGGAGGTGGAGAGGGGGAACGAGAGGATGAGGTGGCCGCGAGTGGGAGAGACTGAGGAGGCCGAGTAGGCGGGGATGGGATGGAGGAGATGAGGGGGCGCCCTTATCCCCTCGTCGGGGCGTCGCCGGCGAGGTGGTTCGATGGGAGCCCCGCCCCTGTAGCGACGCGCCTGGGGAACAGGACGGTCGACCGGGCAGGTGGGCTGTTGGCCTGGCTCGGGTGGGCCAAAGCCCAGGGGGCCGGGGTTTTCCCTTTTCTTTTTTAGTTAGTTTTGTTTTTCTGTTTTGTATTTTATTTTCTTTTATTTATTTTCCCTTTACTGTTTTCTATTATTTCCAATATACTTTAGTTTTCGTAAACAAAATAAAATTAGTTCCTAAACTAGTGTTACAACATATTCTAATGCCACAAAAACTTGGGCAACCAGACAAAATAGTTTAATATTTTATTAATCGTAAAAGGCATTTAATTAATTGTTTTGCTACTGTTTTATTTACTTTGGGATGATCGAACACTTCCAAAGAGGTTGGTTTCTCCACCATAATAACATATGCATTATTTGGCTCACTCTGAACATTTTAGTTTTAATATTTGAAAACATTTGTGGTTTACCTTTAACTCTAATTTGAATGTGAATCATTTTGTACTAACGCGAGATTATCAACACTAACCGAGGTGACGTGGCATCATTCCGAGAGGGTTACTATAGCTTAATTACCCGGGCGTCACAATGGCCTATGCTGAAATAGAGGACACGGGAACATGGAAATGGTTTCTTAGAACACTAATTGAGGATCTTGTAATACAACAAAATACATCACCTTGGACCATTATGAGTGATAGGCAGAAGGGGTTGATCAATGCAGTGAATTTGAAGCTCCCACACCCGGAGCATAGATTCAGAACTTCAACAAATAATGGAAGGGAGAGATATTATAGAACAAGCTATGGGAAATTGCTAGGTCTTACAACTTGATTGATTGGAGAAAAAACATGGATGAAATGAAGGAACTGGACTTGGAGGCATATAAGTACTTAGAGGCAATTGATCCACATTCATGGTGTAGGTCACATTTCATTGAATTGCCCAAGTGCGGCATGCTACTCAGCAACACATGTGAAGTGTTTAACAAGTAAGCATTCTGGTATCCCTTTACTTGAGACATTATGTTAGAGCATGTGTTTTTGTACTTGAGAAATAAATTAGAGCATGTGTTCCTATACTTGAGAACTAATTAGACCATGTGTTCTTGTACTTGAGAAATTAATTAGAGCATGTGTGCCTATTCATGAGAAATTAAATATTTTTCTTCTAAAATTAAATAGATGCATTCTGGATGCTAGAGAGATGCCTATGCTAAGCATGTTTCAAAAGATCAAAAATCAGTTAATGGCTAGGTTTGCCACAAAAATTGAGAAACTCAAGGAGATGCCTGGCCCATTTTGCATTAAAATTAGAAGAAAAACCTTGTCAAACTGGAAGACTGGGCCAACAACTGTTATCCAATGGAAGCGGGCAAAGGATTTTTCAATGTCACAACAGGGCAGTTCCAAGTTGACATTTTGAAACAACGATGTAGTTGCAGGAAGTGGCAGATGACATGCATTCCTTGTCACCATAGCATTACTTGTTTTAGGCATGAGAGGATAAGTCCAGAGTCAATGGTCCACACTTGCTATAGTGTTGCCAATTTCAAGCTTTGCTATAGTGAGGTGATCAAGTCATGGAGAGATCCGAGAGGTGGCAAAAGATGAAGGCTGCATTAGTGATGCCACCTACTAAGAAAGTAGGAAGGCCTCCCACCTAAAGGAGAAAGGCACCCAAGGAAAAAATGGGGAAACTTACAAGAGTTGGGACAGTGCAACACTATAGTGTGTGAAACTAACCTGACCACAACAAAACAAAATGCCCGGAGCTTGGAATAGGTCAACAAGAAACAAAACAAACTCATGTACAAGCTGAAGATCACAAACGGGCAAACCGCAAGAGAAAGCAACTTGTAAAGACGGATGTCACATTTACTCAGGTGTGCTAGTTTCTACTTTTCTATTCCCATTTACTCATGTGTGATAATTGCTCATTTATTGTGATACTTTTTTATTTGTTGTCTAGGAATCTGGTACAAGAAGCATTGGTGAAAATGGAAGTCAAATATCAATGTTAGATCTAATGTTGGAAAGTGTAAGCTCCTACAATTGTTGGTTTATTTGCACATTTTTAATGAGCTCAATCTCTCTTCATATAGTGTGTTCAACTAATTGTGAATCAACTCAAATATTATTTGTGAATGAACTCAAATCAATTGTATGAATTGTGCTCATACAGGCCTAACAAAGCACAGAACAACCTCATATTCCACTAGTCCCTCTCCCTGAGTATAGCTTCATTGCTAACACAAGGGATGCATTGCCACAACCGAGGCCATTGTGGGTAGTTCCACCAGCAAAGAAGAAGGCGAAGGGAAAGGCAAATGGTTCTGCAAAAAAGAAGCAACTTGGACAGGAGAAGGTGTGCATTTTCGACAGGGCAAGAAAGTTGTGCATTTTGAATAGAGGAAGAAAGTTGTGCATTTTGGACCGGACAGGACAAAAGACATGATGTGTGTAGCGAAACGTCATGCATGAAGCCGTTGATGTTGGTTTACTTGCACATCTTTGATATTTCTTTTGTGTGGTTCTATTGTAATAGGAACCTGAATTTAGACCTTATCTGAGATGTTAGAAACTAGTGTATGTGTCATAATGATGTAGACCTTATTGCTCTCAATGATCATGTTGATGTAGACCTTATTGTTGTCGTGATGTAAGCTTATTGCTCTCAATATTCTGCATCTATTTGTTGTGAACATATCACATTTTTAGAGGCCATGGGGGATGCGAGAGAAGAGTTGAGAAGAGATGGGCTGGAGGAGGAACAAAGGTTATCTTATAGTGCCCAAGGGGGTTAATGAAATATTCCCAACAGCTCTGGGTGGGATCATTGCCGCCAAAACCGGCTCTACTTACGTGGCTATGGCCAGTGTCACCACTGGACTTGGTCAGCCACAATTAGGGCTCGCAGTGGACAGTTTATTTAGTTATAGGACTCATATGTACATTTTAGAACTTTTAGGACCTAGGTGACACACCTTGAACACTTTTAGGACTTATGGTGCATTTTACTCAAAAAAATAGTAGAGGGGAGACCCGTCTTTCACAACAACAAAAACGCAATGAAAAGTGCGTTGTTGGCATTTTGTCAACGAAAAAAAGACCATATCAAGAGAAAAACAAAGTGATTCATAAATTCATTTGGAAAACAAACAACCCATTGGTGCAGTTCAATGTCTACAATGTAGCAATTATTGAAATAAAATTTGCAACGAAGTCCACAAATTTATTCTCAGTTTCTCTTCTGAGTGCTTATTCTTATTATGAACCGGAAATGGTAGAAGGCGCATCAGACGGTCATAACCCTCTTGGCATGGACCGCATCCTTGATCTTCATGATGGAACCGGAGACATTATTCCCGAAGTTGTCGACGGTCTGTGCGGTGAGGTTCCCTCCAATCAGGTGAGTCTGCCGCAGGACAGAGACGAGAGATCCGCAGCTCCTCTGGTGGTCTATGGGGTCGACCGCGGAGGGGTTGGCATCAAGCGGATCCGTCTGTATGTCGCCGACGCCGTCAGGAAGGATGGAGAACCCGGAGGGCAGCAGGGAGAGAGAGGCACGTCTGCCCCCATGCATCACGTCCTTCAGGTCTGCCGTGTCAATCGGAGCGTACGCCACCACCATGCACGGCGCGTCGCCGCAAGCCTGCTGCAGGATGAGCTTCTTGTTGCAGCTGCTTCCACCACGACCACGACCCTGCGGCAATTCGAAGAAAGATGGCCAACCCTTAGATATCCACATTGGCGCGATCACAATGGGGACTGAAGTAGCGATAAGAATATTTGAAGCTAGGATGCAAACCATTACAGTGGGGCGAAGGATGGAGACGCCGGTAAGAGGGAACTGGGCCGTGGCAAGGGAAGCGTCCTCCTGCACGCGTGCGCCCTCGGCAAGCACGTCCCACTCGCCACGGCGCTCCACGTCGCAGATGTAGTCGAACACGCGCTGCGGCGGTATCTCGGGGAGCCACACCGTCGTGGTAGCGCACAGCACGGGCCCGGCCGCCTGCTCTCCAGGTGCAGCGAGCGGAGTCACCACGTGCATGGCCAGCTGGAAGGACTCGCCGCCGACTCCGCAGCTGCCGCGCGAGTCGGCGACCTTGCGCCACGCCTCGCCCCTGGGCGCAGAGATGGCTACATAGAAGCTCTCCGTCATCCTCCGTGCCAGCTCCAGGACGTTGTTTCGCCCCTCGGGCGTTATAGCACCACCTGCTGTGAATGTTTCAGAATTGCATGGCCATCTGGAATTCTGGATGCATACGGATACGGGTGGATGGTGATGGGGTTTCGTGACTCACCTGCCCTGCTGATGCCATAGGCGGGGCTCAAGCGCTGCGCAAGGAATTCGCACCTCCTCTGGAGCGATGTCAGCCAGCGGCGTGCGCTGAAAGTGTGCCCTGAGCTCAGCAGCGGGTGGAGCGGCGGCCGCATGAAGCCCTTGTCGTACTCCGCGTTCACGATCATTGCCACCTGGAACAAATGTGCAAGGGATTAGACATATATGTATATGATATATTCATTGTATTACTATAGTTGTTTGCAACAATATGTCAGTAGAAATTATGAGAATTCTACACTAGAAGATACTCCTACAATCCACATTCCTAAAGTACGTGTAGAGATGGGAGTACTAGTTACCTTGCAGTAGCCATTGTTCATGTCCTTGATAAGACACCCACTTGGCAGCACCCGGCAGGCCCCCGGTAGGCCAGTGTTCCATGCTCTGAGCTCAGATGTGCCATTGGCATCAAGAGACACGTCCACCACGGCCCAAACGCCTTGCTCTATCATCTGGCATTGCCTCACGAACTTCACATCGCAACTCGACACCCCTGGCGACAGCACCCGAAGGCCTGCCTTCATCTGCGATCAAGTGTGCCACGATTTTTTTAGTAACGTAACCCATATAACCAACTACTAGTATGAGAGCTTCTTTCAAAAAAAATAAAAAAATACTACTAGTATGAGAGCTATGTATTTTGCAGCGGAACTTACCAGTATCACTCCCCCTTGGCAGATACAACCGTGGCCGATGTTGTCGGCGGAAACACTTGCCACGATATCGGGGAACGTCTCAGACCAACAGTTCTGCCAACAGCTCAAAAGTCAAAACACACACAGGGAGAAGTCATATGTAAAAATTACGGGATGAGATATAGGGTAGTATGTGTGTTACCTCGTCCATGAAGATGCGGACAAGGTCGGCTCCAGTGCACATAACCAAGCCAGTGTCCCGAGTGCCATTCGCCGTGAACCCCGGCGGGGGAAGCTCGAGTAAGCCTGGGAGCGTGGTCGCACGATACAGCTGGTGGTCGAGCACCTCGCCGCCCAGGGCTGCCGGCTGCCACATTGGCTCGCCCTGCTTCATCAGCATCATGAGCTCGCGGAGTGCAGCGAGGACGTGCCTCTCAAGCGCGGCGTGCTCCGGGCCGCCGGCGGCGGATGCGCAGCCGCCGGGAGCACAGTGACCCATGGTGTCCGCCATGAGATCGTCCTGGCGTAGCGGAAGCGGCATGACGGGGTCGACGTTGAGATCGCAGAGAATCCGTGACGAGCCTGCAGTTCCAGCAGAGACACCGTGGAGGTAGGCCGTCCTGTGGAGGAGTTCGGCCTTAAGCCTCGCGTTCTCCATGTGTAGGCGCCGCAGCTCCGGGGTCAGCGGCCTAAAGAACACCATCGGGCCTTTGCATGTGGGGCAGGTCTTCTTCAGTATTGCGGCCTTCATGGCTCGATTCTCTTCTTCTAGCATAATGTTCTCCGTCCGGAGCACCATGTTCTGTTGACGCTCATTCTGGTTCTGCATTTAGTTATTTGATGATGATTGAGGTGCTAAACCTAAGGAATATAGTCCAACTAGTAACAGTAACATGGCAAAACAAGTTCATCATAATAAAAATATGTCAAAACAAGCATACATGATTTCTCGTTTAATAAAACGTATTAGTACTTGATCAAATCTCGTGGTAAACATCAATCGAAAATTAAGACTGGTCCGTACCTTCTTTGCATTGCGTCGATTCTGGAACCAGAACTTGACCCGAAGAGGATCCATGCACACCTTCTTGCTGAGGGCGATACGTAGATTCTCATCGGGGTGGGGACATTGCTGGAACATACTGCACATCACAAGAGTGGATTGGCTCAAGTTGTTTTTGGATATATATATTAAGTGCGTGTTTATACATACGCTTCAAGTTCCTGAATTTGGCGGTTTGCATGCCTGCCCCTCTTCCTCATGTGACTAGCACTCCCGGCATCAGTAATACCTTCATCCGCGGTAGCAACATCTTCATCATCATTCATCGTGCCCGTGTTGCTCCAGATCAAGTCTTTGTCATCGACTGGGATGCTGAGGTCGATCTCATCATGCACTTGGCCGTTTTGTGGTTGCCACTCTCCAACCATGGCGACCTGCTTAAAACAAATAGCATGTCAAAAACATTACGACGCACGGATCAATAGCTACAAGAAGTAAATAGTAGTAAAATAAAATCCTTTAATACGTTAAGGTTTCATGAAACTATTGACGTTATGTTTTTAAAAGTCTAAAACAGAATCTAAAGAGGGAATATGAAGGAAAACTGCACATGATTAACAGTTACGTCTACAGTAAGTGTGTAGTTTTATTGCATAAACTCCCCAAATAATTCTACTATGCTTAAAAATAAAGTTCAGTTCCATTATAATTGACTACTCACAAACAGCATGTATATAGAATTAAACATTAAAAAAAGGTTAAGTATTTTGGTACTAGTTTGTTAACATTAATTGTTTTTTTTTAATGTTGGCAAGCTGCCAAATTCGTTGATCAGAAGAAGGTATTACAAGAACAACCCCAAAGGAGGAATGCACCGCATAAAGGCGAGTGCTAAAAAAGAAGAAATGAAAATAGGGCTGCTCGGTTAATTGAGGGAAACCGGGCTAAAACCAAAGCAGCGCCTAGATAAACTAGGACTAAAGCACCACAACATAAACAAAAACGCCGGAAATCCAAAACCCCACAACACACCCGGGCGGGCACTCGAGCGCCTACGCTGTTACCAAAGAGCACACCGACAACCGTCGTATTGTACCGGGCTGCTACGAGCATATCCGCAAACATCGAGGACACCGGAGAGGAACGATACATCCGAAAGAGCGAGACATATGCCGCTCTGATCCCACGAGGCTAGCTGACATAGCTCGTCTGGCGCTACTTGCATACAGAGGGTGCTCCTGCTCCTCTCACCGTCGACCGACGATCCACTCCAAACGGACTCACCACCAATGCTCCATGCTCACCAAGACGCTGCCCGCTCCAGATCCACCACACCACCACCAAGCAGATGCTTCCAACACCAGACTTGACTCCAAGGCAATGCTTCCAACAAAGTAATGACGGCAAAGACGCCACCATTGCACACGGTTTTCACCAGGAGACAAGAACACGGAGCAGGGAGAGGTGTCGGACCCCCTTGATGGCACCTCCAACAAGGGAAATCACACCCGAAGGCGTCATTTGCCATCAGCTCAAACCAGAGTCGAGCATGACTTTCGTCAGGGAAACCGAGCACCTATGCTGCGATGACTTCGCCAAACACACCACCACCAAACCGGAGCAGCAGGCGCCACTTGCTGCACCGCACAAAACTAGCAGGAGCACTGCTGGCGACACAAGCCTAGAGCGTCCCGAAGGCACAGCCCAGACCACGCCACCCCAGACCACCATCCCGACAGGGAGCTACCACAGTCCGCTTGGAGTCAGTCGCCGGCCGAGCCACCTCCGGCCGCCATAGCGCCAGATCTGACCGACATGGCCCGTCAGATCCGGCCGCTCAGGCCAGAGGCCACCAGCTAGGGGAGCCCGCGTCCCCCAGCATCACCCTGCGACGACGACGCGCACGTCCGCGCCGCCCCTGGGCATCCCCGCAGCAGTGACCGTGCCCAACCCCATCGACGCGCAGCCAAGGGCGCGCGCACCAGGCGTTGGACGAGCACGCGGCCAGGCGCCTCCACCGCGCAGCCACGGACGCGAAATGCACGGATCTGGGCGCGCAAACCACAGATCCCAGGCTCCAGTAAGCGCCGGCAGATCTCCATGGACGCGCTGTGATGCAGCCCCTCTCGACGCGCCAGACTGGCCAGGGATAGCGCCCCGCCACCGCCTTCCTCGGGGCCGGCCCGGGCTTCGCCGGCGGGCGCCCTCTGGCGGCGGCGAGACAGGTGGGGGAGGGGGTGAGGACTATGGCGGCGCTAGGGTTTCTACCCCCGTGTCGCCAAAGCTAGGCGGCACGGGGGTCGGGACTCGGGAGAGACGGGTTCTAAAGAAGTTATGCCATAGCTCTAGAATTTACTGAAATCCCAACTAGCAAGGAACTGACAATAGTGGAAAGTTTACAAATGGAATGAAAAAAATAGCTCAACTATCATATTACTACACAAAACTAACTTCGAGGACCCATTGTATTTTGTTTTGTTAATAAAATGTGGCTACAGAGGATACTATATGGGCTGGGTCGAAGGAGAGAAACCAATAACTCATATATTGCCTCAAAAGCTTATAGAAGAAAACATACATCTCATTAAACATCCATTGGATGAAAACCAGAGCAGCACTGACCCTCTAAAGTAAGCAAAGCCAAAACCTATTACTCGGAGAGAAGTTGATTTATATGTGAACTAAAAAAACTCTGATCTACTCTATTAGATACTGAAATCTAACAAGATCTTCAACTAATATGGGAAACCAAGTGATGTTTGATCCTACGGAGAAACGACTTCAATTAAACGATAATAACTTTATCTGACTGCCTTTATTATTTTGGACACAACAACACAATCAGATCTATAGAATCAACCATAACACTACCAATAGCAAATAAACAAATCTAAGATCTTAAAGCTTGCTTAGGGGAGGTAGGTAAATGCAATATCGTCTCCACAACAAAGCAATTCAATACCAATTGTGTCAAAGAACCCACGCTCAACTTTAGACATTGTAGATCTAAAAATTAAATTAGAATAGGTAAATACAATGCTAAATGATCTATTTCGTAGGAAATACCTTTGACGGGCAGTTCTTCTCCTTGCTTGCGAGCGCAACATTAGATGAAAACATTATAGCTATATGGCGATACGAATGCAACCTCGACGTCTCGTGGTGCAGATCAACCAGGACCGTCGGTATTTAAAGGCCATCCGACTGACGGAAATGTCTATACTGTCCAAATCCGTTTCATCCATTGTGGTAACGTAACCTCGTGAGATTCTAGAAGGGCGGTATGATAGGTTGTCCATTAATGACTCCCTAAGCATAATGTAGACTAAATCGATTCGTATCGGGGAAAATATTCTAAATTAATATAAATTTAATATTTCTACCAAATATAATGTGGATATCGATCTATGCATTGATGCCCTTCTTCAAAATTTTACTATATTTCTATGTATATCTATATAGTTATTTTGTTTCATTATTTTTGATTTCCTAGAAATCAAAATCAATGCCCCTTAATTTATTATTTTTATAGAAAATCTATAATTATAACCAAAGGCAAGAATATTGAAGATTCGGGTAATAGCTTGGCAACCATATTCTTGTTAAACAGAAGTGTCACAACATACGCAACCTGGCCCTAGTCCGACCCAAAAACCCTGGTCGAGTCAGGTTGGGTCCATGCCTCGTTGTGCAGTCTGAAAGACAATTTAGGTCGAGGCGGTCTTTAAATTTCAGATCAAAAAACAGACTGGCCTGTCCCAATGCTAGAAATTTATATGGGACATTAGGAGTCATAGTTGTAGGACTGAAAGTTGCATTACTAGTGATATGGTCAAAATAGAGAATAAGTAGTTTTAACACAAGTATAACCCTTGTTCGGTCGTGGCCCCTCCCCTGATTATGTAAACCTAGCTCCACATCTACCTCCTAGCTGCTCTTATCAGTCAAGGCGATGATACATGCATTTTTGCATCACTATTGCATAAGATAAATTGCTCTTATACTATACATAGTTATCCATGGTTTCTACTTTTTAACTCTACTCCTTTGTAATTGTAGACAAACATAGGTAGGAGAATTTTAAGAGGAAAAGTGCATTTTCATAGAGGAAACCCAAAAAATACTATGCAAACATATACATCAAAGGATCAAGGAGCCAGAGGGCCACCCCTAGGGGAGGCCGGGGGTACACGGCAAAGTCAGGTGATCCTCTCCTTAAGAAACTTTCGTGGCTGCATGAGGGCCACCAATATCCCATTTGCATCTCCTTCTAAGTGAAGTACCTATTCTTCCTCTAAGGGCACACCATAGTTTTCCCATGATTTTATGAGGCGGTGGACACCTCTAGAGCACCTTAGTTTCTCTCTCAGAGGGGTGATTTTGCTAATTTTGGCACCTCCAGGGAATCAATGCCTTCATCATCACCAACAACAGTCCAATATTGGGAGCATTGTCATCCACACATGATCCTCAATAGAACATCATCCCAAAACTCGTCGCCATTAACAAAATCCATGTGCAATTGGTGTAGTTTGGTTATTATGATCACTTCTTGTTGTTAACTGAAGTTTAGAAGTTGATTCTTTAGTATTTATTTGACGAAAGATTTCTACTTTAAGATTTCCATCATTTTTCATCTCCTGTTGAACATTTTCATTTTCATGACTTGTGATCAATTCCATCACATTCTTGAGGACATGGAAGAAAGCCTGGTGTTGTGAGTCATGTGAATTTCCAGTAAAGATTCACCAATGCAGGCATGTTCTATACAAATGGTTTTTACCCCCTTTCCGCGACGAAGTTTTAAACCATCGCTTTGCCTATGTGTGTGATAGGGGAAGTCCATCCCACATGACCCAGAAATCACCGGCAATAGTTCCTTCGGTCACACACGCATGGCAAAAAGAGCTCGTGTGCAATCGTGCAAGCCATCGCAAACAATTATACGGGTCAAATCATGTGAGATATTCTTAGCATCCCACATAGTGAATCCCATACAAATGTTTCTGTTCATACGTACATCACACACAATTTTCCGCACCACATCGTCTGTGATAGCGTTGCCATCACAGGCGGTACTTATAATTTCATCATTTGTGTTACTGAATGCATCACACACGGTACCTAGAAGAAATTGTATGGCATAGGTTGCCCATCACACACACTTTTTATGTGGAAATGTTTGTGCAAGGTAGCCTAATGCAAACAATTGTCCAGAGGAAGTCATGTGTGATTATTCATTGATCCAACACGCCTACTTTCTAGAAACTGTGAAGGTTGTCTGAGGTCATCGCCCACGGGGTTGTCTCAATAACCGCATGCAATAGAAAAACCAAATAAGTAGGCCTATTATTTTTAATTCATTTAGTAATAAAATTGACACTTCATGTCAAACATACAATATATTTCATTTTCGTATTACGGCTACCAGGATTTCATAATTGAAATACATCAGAGTAAAACATCATATAGCTTCAGCACTCAGTTACACCATATAGGTGTATAGCAACCCCATTATGCAAGGGCACCAGGTTTCACATGCAACATTTAAAACATTTGGAAATTAGCATCATAGACGGTAGATAGACAGATGAATCTCATCTGGAAAACTACTAAAGCGGAAGGCGAATATTGCGCCTTCAATGATTTTGAAGGTCCTTACAATTTAGGACAATGCTTGTGGATGATTAACCGCCCATTCTTTATCTTCTTGAGGAAGAAATCCATATTGTGCCATGGGTGTTCTATGAATACCTTCCTCGCCTGTTGACCTTACAGGTGGTTTGCGAGCTAATCATCGGGGAACTGCTTTGGAAAGGCCTGAAAACAAAGTTTTGCATAAATATCTTCTCTAAATTTGGAAATGACACAAAGGAAGAAAAAACAAGGTATAAGAGTTAGTACCATCCTGTAGTTGACTGATGTCTTCTTTATTGTGCAAACAAAGATCTTGTTGTTTTTCGTCGCTAGTTTCTTTATCCTAACAATCTTTCTGAGTTTTTTAATGGACACCCCGTTTCCCCATATGCAAAATGAGTTGAAAAATGGGTCTAGACCTTTGATAGCAGGACCTACATGTGCAAGACCAAATTATTAAAAACCTAAATATTAGAATGCTTCCTAAAATTGCACAATAATGCACTATTAACCAAAGGACCATGCATGTGCCATCCACAGGGTATCTATCCAGCAGTGCCTCATCGCCCGAGGCGGAACCCATGCTGCTTCTCGGCATGGATGGGACGATGCTATCCAATGTTGGATCCGCTAGCTACTACCGCTACTGAGACCACCTTTCCTGGCTAAGTGAGTCGATCTGCTGCTGCTGCTGCTGGAAAGCGAGTGCCAACTCCGCGTGCCTTGATTCTAGGCCTTGAAGGTGGTTGTCGGTGTCAAAACCGGCGGATCTCGGGTAGGGG